GTGCAATTTTTCACTTCCTATTCCAGTCTCTGGGTCCTGTGCTGAGCTCTACCCTGGAACTGGCCGATCCCTGCACATCTTCCTGTGTAAGGGAGACCTTCGCAGGTGGCCACTGAATGGGTAGGCAAGCCACAGCCACCATAGCAAGTAATTAATTTATTTTGCATAAGTTTTCAATTTGTATTATTTTTGTGATTTATTTTGGCATTGTTGAGTTTGACTCTTGGGGAGTTTTGTTGTATTGACTTGTGTCTTTTGTCACAAAACAATGATATTTGCTGAACAGCACACGGAATTTATTTTTGATTGGTAATAAAAACTGACATAGGGAGAAAAAAAGAAAATGGGGCCTCTATTCAGGGACTCCACACCCTGGGCCTTGAATTATATTCTTTCCCACCTGTGTTCCTTCAGTCATGTTCATTCCCTCTCAGTTTCTGCCCCCTCCACCTTTATACCCTCAAGCTCACCCTGTCACCCACTTCTCCTCTTCTCTTCTTCTTTTGCCCTCTCTTCCTCTTCCTTCTCTCTGCCCATGCCTAGCAAGGATGTCAGCTCCTGGGGATGAAGCTGTGGCCAAATGCAGGTATTCTCAAGTGAACCCAGTCAGCCAGTACATATCTTTTAAGCACCTGCAAAATGCAGGGGTGGCAGGCACTGTGGGAAAATGAAGCTGAGTAAGACAAGACTCCTACCCTCAATGCATTTACAACTGCCCAGTTGGGAAGATAAGGTGTGCCCACACGAAACGATAACTAGCACGTCAAATGCAGCCAGGTATCTTGGATTTAGGCATGTTCTAAGTAAATGTAGCTGAGTGACCTTGCCTCAAATCTAAAGGGCTATTAGACTGTGTAGCTGGAAGAGGAAGAAAGTGGTCCATCCTCCAACAGTAAAAGCCACAGACCCTACTACATACAGTACTGGTCAGTCCCAGATGGGCAGACCCCTGACAGTCATGATGTCACAAAGACCTCTCAGAACATTCCACCCATCCCTGAGCATGCAGAGCTGCTGCAGGGCGAGTGCCTCATTGAACATTGCCTTGCTTACAAAGTAAGTACTATGGCAGCCCTGACCGGTGTGGCTCAGTGGGTTGGGCGTCATTCCGCAAAGCAAAAAGGTCACTGGTTCAATTCCGGGTCAGGGCACATGCCTGGGTTGAGGGTTTGGTCCCCTGTCAGGATGCCTCTGAGAAGCAACCAATTGATGTTTCTCCCTCCTTTCCCCCCGCCTCAATCAATCAATCAATCAATCAATCAGTTTTTAAAAGGGCCATGGCAGAGCTGTTGCTGGACACCTGGACTTTTGATGGTGATGCCTTATTGTTGTGATCCACAGTCATAGCTACACTGGGCTGCTCTCACAGGCCCTGGATGAAAACTCCAGGGTTGCCCTACAGACCTGACCTACCCCACCCCAAAGACGAGGCTCTTGGAGGTAAGAGAGCACAGTGGGCTTCTGGGGGCTGTGCTGTTTTCTAGCCTATAGAAACAAAGGGTATTAGGCTTAATAGGGAAACTCTGCTGAATGAAACTGACACTCCCCAGCTGTGTGGTAGGTGGCACACGATGGGGACAGAAGGTACACCAAAGAAAATCTTAAACACTTGGGAAAGATTTTTGTTTTGTCAGGGCAGTAATGCTCAGTGTTTCCACTGCCTTCCCTACTTTTCCTTTTATTTTTTTTTTCACTGCTTTTAGAATTATACTTCTTTGGGGTCATAATTGAAATTTCATACTTATTTGTAAATTTTGTTACCTGACCACTCTCTAGCCCATATGTAATAATTGGTTTCTTCTCCATGTTTTCTGGAACTAAGGACATACCTGCCAAGAAACAAAAGAACAGATTTTTTTTTAAATGTGTTCAAACTAATAAAGCAGCAGTTGCATGGGTTTACACGAGTAAGATCTGCTAGGCCATTTACTCAGTGATGCCTTGAAAAGAACAATTAAGTCTCTTAATCCTGAACCAAGTTTTGTGGAAATCCCAAAAGCAGTGATTTGGCTCTTCATTGCAAAAGAGCCCTTCAGAGGGGGTGGGGATGGGCTAAGGAAGTTATATTACAGCCAATAGCATCAAGCAGAGCATACAGAGAAACCAAAGAAACCCTTAACAGTTAAAGGTTATGCAAACATAGCTCTGGATTTATTTTTTACATACATTTCCTTCCCTTGTCTTTTTGTCAACAATGCACCAAAATGTGAAGGCTGTAAGAACATTCTCAACCCTAATTCAGTGGGCTGTAGAGTCTGCTCCAGCTTTGTCTGGAAAACAAGGAAGAGCACATCCCAAAAGAATATTCCAGCATGTACACACCTCAGAGATGACATATTTAGTTAGGGGGTGTGAATGAGGCGGCGGGGGGTTGGGGGGGAGTGGAACGGAGCATTATACAAGTACAGGCCCAAACTAAGAATCTGAGCGCTAGTCTCTTTAGTTGTCTAAAGTCTGCATCAACATGTTTAGGAAAGAAAAAACTCCAATTTTTCCATGTGTCTTCTGTCTCACAAGACTATAATAGGATAATTTGAGTTCTCAAGTCACAGAAGTATCACAGTGATATGGAAACTTTAAAAAACCAAGTGATGTTTAACTCTCACCCCACTCCCCACCCTTACCCAAAAGCTTCCTCTCGAGCATGGTAACAAGCTTCAATCCCATCCACTTACCACCTTCCTTTAAAACAAGTGGCAGCCCTGGCTAGTGTGGCTGTTAGTAGGAGTGTTGTCCCATCATGTCACATGCCTAGGTTGTGAGTTCAAATCCCAGTCAGGGCACCTATGGTTGCCCTGGCCAGTGTGGCTTAGTTGGTTGGAGCATCATCCCATAAACTGAAAGGTTGCAGGCTCAATCCCTGGTAAGGGCACGTACCTAAGTTGTGGGTTCGATTCTGGGTCAGGGTGCGTATGGAAGACAACCAATTGATGTTTCTCTCTCATTCTCTCCCCCTCCCTCCCTAAAAGCAACGAATAACTGTACTCAGGTAAGTGGCATTAAGCTGGGTTTTCCCTTTTGTTTTCAGAAAATACTTTCAGAGTAATTGAGTTTAATGTCTGTTGTCTCTTTGCAGTACTCCGGAAACACTTGAGTTGTGCTTAGAGAACCAAAGACTGCTACCACCACCTACTTACCTCCTGACATCACCTTTGAATAAGTGCCTTTTGGGTTTCTGGGGGTGCTCAGAAGTGCTTACACCACCAGCAATGATCCTTTCCACAGGCACAGGGCTATACAGTTACAAACTATTTCATGTACATGACTTCATGACAGTCTCATACCCAGGGGCGTATGCAGAAGACATACCATCTTCTCTTAAGATGGAAGACCTCAGGTTCAGAGCAGTGAAGTCACTTGCCTAAGGTCACACAGCTGACAGGCGGTGGAGCCTCTTGATGTGATAGTCTTCCCAATCCTCTCAACATTCCACATCAAGTCCTCAGAAAGAATGAGGTTTGTTTGCCTTCTCAGTTTGAGGTACCTCACCGCAGTGAGTTGGGGTACATCCTTGGGAAAATATATGCCTCCAGGGAAGGGACACAGTTCAGGTTTACAGAGGAGCCAAGGGAGAACCTGGGATCAGAACTTTAATTTAAAAAAAAAAGAACTAGGAATAGAAGGAAGATAGGGGATTGCTCCCATATACTCCTGAATAAGTAGGATTTTTTTTTTAAATCACTTCCTGCCCTGGTTGGTGTGGCTCAGTGGACTGAGCACTGGCCTGTGACGTGAAAGGTGGCCGGTTCAATTCCCAATCAGGGCACGTGCCTGGGTTGCAGGCCAGGTCCCCAGTTGGGGGCCTTGTGAGAGGCAACTGATCAACATTTCTCTCCCTCTCCTTCTCCCGCCCTTCCCCTCTCTCTAAAAATAAACAAATAAAATCTTTTTAAAAACCCACTTCAGGTATCTTCCCTGATGGAGGCCCTGCTACTGGTTTCAGGGTTTCTGTCTCAGTGCTATTGACACTTCGCACTACCTAAAACTGTTCTGGGCAGGGGCTGTCCTCTGCATTGTAGGATGGTTAGCATTGCTGGCCTCTAACCACTTAATGTCAGTAACAGGTCATCCAACTCCTTATGTTGTGACAATGAAAAACAATCTCAAAACTTCCCAAGTGTGTCTTGGGGGGCAAACTAGCCCTGGTTGAAAACAGCTACTTCAGTCTATCTTCTTCAAAGCAGCCAGGCAGATGTTTGCAAGTCACCATCTCCCTCTCCAACAGATTGACTGCCAATCTCCCCAGTACCTTTTCCCTCTACTTCCTGTCTCACAATCTTTGCTCTAGCTCTGCATGCCAGTTGCATTGTAGATTGTTTCTACACAGCCATCCTAGTTTGTTTCCCCATACTCATGCTGTTTTCTCTGCATAGTCCCCTCCTGTCAGTTACTTATCTCGTAAATTCTAGGCAACCTTCAAGATCTGGCTTGGTGTGGACAGCATGTGGAAACCTATCCCAGAGGAAACCTCTCACTTAGGGGTCCTCTAGTTGCCTCGGTGTTAATCTCTATACATTGAGTATCGCCAATCTTTATGGTCATTCACCTTTTCAGATCTTTAACTTATGTGGTTACTTTTAGCAGTGAACATGCAATGTTTTATTTCAAGTGGTCACTATACTCATTTTAATATATATAATGATTACTGCAGCTCTACCACTAAAACAAAAATCAACACTTTCACGAATACTATGTGTTAGATACAGAATGCATGAAAAGTGCAGTCTCAGTTTTAAAAAGCATCCTAACTGGAAATTTTAAACACTACTGGATTCACCCAAAAAAAGAACTAGAAAAAAAACCAATGTTTTAAAATATCTATTACAACAGCAGCAACTACCATTCATGACACATTCGGTGCTAGGAAGTGATGGGTGCTCGGTATATATCTATCATTTTGTAAGGCTCAGGCTACCTTCTAGTTTTTTTAAAGTGATAAAGACCTTGGGTAGATTGCTTGCTCTTGTGTAGTAGTTATATTTTAAAAAGTAAAGAAAACCTTTGATTTTATTTTTTAATGTTTATTACACACTACATAATATACTGCATGCTACATAATACACCACATAACCTTCTAGAAGGGGTAGATGAGCATAACTCAGTTATTTTTCATCAATCAGGAAAATGCTTCCTTAATCAATGTTCTCCAAACCCTGAAAAACAGTTTAAAAAGGAAATGTAAGAATTCTGTTCCCATCAAAGATGTACATGTACTCTTATTTCTAGTGTCACCAAATGGCACTCTCTGTGACTAAAGAAAGTACTTTCACACCCCACATTTCTCTAATTGCAACAATAAATTGGACTGAATTTTATAATCACTAAAGTAAGAAAGAATAACTTACAATGCCTTCTAGTTTCCGTTTTCTGACAGCAGCAAACGCACCACTTTATATGAAAAAACCTCCCCCTCTCCCTAGCCAGAACTAAAGTCAAGCAACTTTTTACCATGTGGATCCTTCTATAAAGCACCCTCAGAGAATCAGAGAACAGTAAGGTAAAACAGTTTCTTATAAAATAACAGCCAACACAAGGGAGATATTATTAACCTCATTCTACTTTTTTTTTTTTACAGGTGAAAAAAGGAGGCTTGGAAAGGTTAAAAGTTGATTAAGTCAGAGAGGAAGTAGCAAAGCCAGAATTCAAGTTCAGAGCACCCCAACTCCAGAACTCTTGCCCTGTGTAACCATCACACTATGTATTCAGAAGACCCACTCTGTCTTACTCAGTTCACAACTAAATACTTCAGAAATTATCAAGTAAAAGATTAATCACTTCTTCCAGGTATTAAAATAACACAGTCCAGGTATTTTGTTTACTATATTGCAGGAAGAATCACCTTGAGAGAAATTAAAATTGCAGTCCTAAGAGCCACCCTGTAGAAACCCTAATTTGTTTGGTTTGGCCAGGAGCCTAGGAGTATGCATTTTATATCATATGTCAGATTATGATAGTTATTCTTAGACCTTATCTTGAGAAATGCTGTTCTAGATGAGTAGACAGCCATCATCATGTTCTTTATATTAGATTTGCAAGTAGCACTTTACTTGAGTGCTACTTGAGAGGCAGATCACCTGAGTCCTCATAGTGTTATTTAATCAGTGACCCTTTGTCCTCTCATCTATAAAATGGAATTAATATTCACCTAGGTTCATTGTGAGGAATAAATGAGCAACAAGGAAATAGGAAAAGGTAACTAAAAAAATGTTTAAAGAGTAATAAAGATGAACTCCTACAAGATATTAGAACATACTATTAGGCTGACCATATGAAGATGCTGCTACTAGGCCACTTTTGACCTACAAAAACAATTTCATATGATTTAATCAAATATAAAAGTATAGTGATTCTTTCCATATGTATGATATCGGTGCAGGAATTGGCAAACGAATGACTATAGAAGAGCATATTTGTGAAATAGGCTCATGTGTATACGAAAATTTAGTTTACTACAGTGGTTATTTCACATAAAAAATGGACTGGCCTATAAATGGATAATTGTGACAACTACCTATCTCTTGGGGAAAAAAAGGAATGTTAAATCCTGACTTCACATTATACCCTAAAATGACCTGTAGATGGATCAACACACAAAATGTAACCAACAAACAAACCTGTAACAGTATTTGAAGAAACTGGAAGAATATGTTTTTATAATCTTGAATAGGAAGCTCATTTGTAAGACATGAAACCCAAAATCCAGAACGATAAAATACAAACTGAACATCAAAATTAAGAACTACTATAATAAAGTAATAAAGATAATCAGACTAGGGAAAATATTTGTACATATAAGAGACAAGATTAATACCCGTAATACATAAAGAAACCCAATAAAGAGAGCAGAGCAAATAAAGTATATAGGTAAACGATCAGCAGAACAAGAAATACAATCATTGAATGTACGAAAGGCTGTTAAACCTTACTAGTAGAAAACAAAATGCAAATTAAATTAGCACTGTGAGACCCTTGGCAAAACATTACCAGAACCCACCTCCACCCTAACAGACGGCTGGCATCAGAGCCATCTTACCTTTGACACATGGTGGCGATTAACCCCAGAGACGCGCCTATCTCTTTCCATCAAAGTCCACTGATAAGGAAAATAGGCAACTCTTTTTTCCTACAATTAAAAAAATCATTATTGCAGTTTTAAGATGAGTGGCCCAATATAGAAATGTTAGAACTTTAGTAAGTGACATACTAGAATAATGGAATTATCACTAAAATAAAAAACCAAATTAACAATGTAAGACCAGAATCCTAAATAAAATCGGACCACTAAACTTTAGAATTAAGATGGTATCTTACACTTCCTGTTTTAACCTGCATCATTTTATCTCTTTCCTCCCCACCCTCAAGCCCTTTTAAAGACATGGCTACTTGTTTCCTTCTGGGACCTAATGGAAAGAAAACAGTGGTAGATCACAGATGAAGGACAATCACAAACCCAAAAAGCAAGTACATTTAAACTCTGTACTCTAGAGAATATGTAAAGGACTAGGAAGAGGAGGAAATTGCAATGCTGAAAAACAGGATCTTGAGGTACATTCCTAAAGACTCACAACAGAAAAGGGGGGCAGGGGGAACCGCTGCCATCAGAGGGCTGGGCACAGCAGCCCTGGCCAATCCCCTCCCCCAACAGGAGTCGGGGAGGGGGGGGGGGAGGATGGAAACATCCTTCTATTGCTGTGAGCTGCTAAGCGGCCTGGGCGGAGGCAGCCTCAGTAGCAGTGGCCTCGGTGGCAGCTTCGCGTCCGCGGGTCACCTGTTAATGGGGCGCCCTCGACGGCAGCAGCCAGCTGCAGGATGAAGAAAGATGCGTTGACACAGCCTGAGCGAGCAGGTGGCAGCGGCATTCCGGGCCACGGCTGTGCCGCCCTCGGCCCCCCTGCGCGCAGATGGCGCCGCCCAACGGCCCACTCATCTACCGGACCTAGGGCTGCTTAAGCTTGCCTCACCCGAACTCAAGCGCCTCATCATCCAGTCCAATGGGCTGGTCACCACCACGCCAACAAGCACTCAATTCCTCTGCCCTAAGGGGGCAGCAAGTAAGAAACAGTTCGCGTAGGGCTTTGTCAAGGCCCTGGAGAACCTGCACAAGCAGCACCATCTGGGTTCAGGTGCAGCCTCCACTAGCGGTCCGGGGACCCTCGGGCATGGCCATAGGCACCAAGCCTTCGACGAGTTGGCTTCTGCAGCCACGCCTGAGGCGCCAGTGTACGAGAACGTGAGCAGCTACAAGGGCAGCACCGGGAGCGTGGGGAACGCTGCGATGGTCACCTTAGCCGCCAAGCCCGCGCCCTTCCTACCACCCACCGGAGCGCTCAAGGATGAGCCGCAGACAGTGCCTGACTTGCCGAGCTTCCGCGAGAGGCCACCTCTGTCGCCCATCTACATGGGCACTCAAGAGCGCATCAAGGAGTGCAAATGGCTGCACAAACGCACGGCTGCCTCCAAGTGCGGCAAGTACAAGCTAGAGCGCATTTCGCACCTCGAAAAAGTGAAGACACTAAAGAACCGAAGCAAGGAGCTGACGTCCACCACGAGCTTGCTGCGTAAGCAAATGGCACGGCTCAGGCAGAAAGTCCTCAGCCACGTCAACAGTGGCTGCCAGCCGTTGCCCCGGCACCAGGTGCCCGCTTACCAAGCCTGCGCGCGGGCTGCGTGCAGGCTGGCGTGGGTGTCCCCGACTTGGAGAGGGCGTGGCCCTGCGGACGCCCTGGGATAATGCCGGGACTCAAAGGGCGCCTCAGCCTGGACAAGCTGGACCCCTTGCTCCCGGGGGTGGAGGGGCAAGCACATGACCCTTCCTCCCGCCCTGCCCTCGTGCTGCCTCGGATTTCTGTGTGCGGCTACCCGAAACTGCACGAACCCAAACGCGCGGCCTCCCTTTGTACGCACCGTCACGGAAGAGCGTTCCGAGGGGGCGCAGCCTGAAGCCCTGCGTTGCCTTTTCTTTTACTTTTTTATTTTATTTTATTTTTGCATTTGGAAGAGAGCACAGTGTTTGATTCTGCCCTATTTATGTTTCTACTCGGGAACATACGTTGATTGTGTACGTGTGTTTTGTGTTGGGTTTAAGGAAATGGGAAGAAGAAAAATATTGATACTCTCCCTTTACCTTGCTCTATGCCTCCTCACCCAGTCCTTCTGACACCCTTCCTTCTCCCGCTTTTTTTGTTTTGTTTTGCTACTAGTCTACGTCCCTGTCTGCAATACTTGGTTCGCCCGGTTTTCTGTTTTTAGTAGTCTCCTTATACCAAAGAAAAAAAAGAAAGAAAAAGAAAATGGGAGATAAAAAAATGTCTAGGTAAAAAATTAAGGGCCCTGGCCAGGTGTCCCAGTCGGTTGGAGCTTCGTCTCAAGCACCAATACGCTGCGAGTTCCATCCCCTGGTCAGGGCGCGAACAGAAAGCAACTGATCAATGTTTTCCCCTTTCTCTCTCTGTGAAATTAATTTTTTAAAAAATCTAATCAAGGCTGAGGAAGAAGTTAAGAATGAGAGGTTAGCAAGATGTGAATACGAGGCGTTAAAATAAAAATTGAGCAACAAAGGAGATTAGAAATCGTAATGATTGGGGGCAAGACTGACGCCTCCCTCCTCTGCCTAGGAGCTTGGACCTAACCTCTTCTGCTCTTTTTCAGGCCCCGAATCTCTACTCCGCCCTCTGCCCACCTCTTCACACAGCAACTAGCTGTTTCTTGTTAGAGCAGAACGTTGTTTTCTTCGAGCTTCATTCTGCAAACCTCCGCTTTCAGAAAACACAAAAACAGTGGGGAGGGAGGGAGGGCCGACCTCAGTATTCCCCTCCTCCGACAAAGGGTACGAATAGCCTCCCTAGCCCACCACCCCTTACGTAACGTCAGTCCGCGGAGTCGGCGACTGGGCCGGAGAAGCCGCCTTACCTTGCCCCCATTACTGAACCTGTGGATGTGTGCAGTGGCAATTCCGGGGAGGAGTAAGCACACGCCCATGACAGCAATCCCGGGAAGAATTTCGAACCACATCGCAGCAAGGTTACTAGGGACAGAAATACACCTTCTAGGCCGCTGAAAAGTGTGTGGCTTGACCCCTTCCCACAACGCCCCGCGGCAGCCCCGCCTGGGCGGGGTCACGTACACCTCTGGAGGAAACGACGGTGGCCGGCAGGGCTCTACGGTGACGCACTCTCGCATCTCAGCGCTCCGGCAGTTCTCTTTCCGCGGCGCATTTTGCTCGCTATTTTCGGCGGAGCTCCAGGCGTGCAGTAACACGAAGCAGCCCCCACGCGACTCAGAACGCCGCGGCCTTTTTGGAGCTCAGAACCTGAAAATGGCAGAGCAGCTTCCGCCAGGAAAGGCGACAGATCAGGTGTGCACCTTCCTTTTCAAAAAGCCTGGGCGAAAGGGGCCTGCAGGCCGCAGGAAGCGCCCGATCTGCGACCAAGAGCCCGGAGACAGCAGCAACAGCAGCAGTGACGAAGGCAGCACTGTAGTTCGCCGGGAAAAGAAGCGGGCGACCCACAATCCCATGATACAGAAGACCCGTGGCAGTGGTAAACAGAAGGTGCTTTACTGCAACTTGAGTAGCGAGGAGGAGGAGGAGGCGGAGGAAGGGAACGGGAACAAGCCTGAGGCTCTCCGTGTGTTTTACAAGTCGACCCGCTCGGCGAAACCCGTGGGGCCAGAGGATATGGGGGCGACTGCTGTCTATGAGCTAGACACAGAAAAGGAGCGTGACGCACAAGCCATCTTTGAGCGCAGCCAGAAAATCCAGGAGGAGCTGAGGGGCAAGGAAGATGACAAGATCTATCGGGGAATCAATAACTATCAGAAATACATGAAGCCTAAGGATACGTCTATGGGCAATGCTTCCTCCGGAATGGTGCGGAAGGGGCCCATCCGAGCTCCCGAGCATCTGCGTGCCACCGTGCGCTGGGATTACCAGCCCGACATTTGTAAGGACTACAAGGAGACTGGCTTTTGCGGCTTCGGAGACAGCTGCAAATTCCTCCATGACCGATCAGATTACAAACATGGGTGGCAGATCGAACGTGAGCTTGATGAGGGTCGCTATGGTGTCAATGAGGACGAAAACTATGAAGTGGGAAGCGATGATGAGGAAGTACCATTCAAGTGTTTCATCTGTCGCCAGACCTTCCAAAACCCAGTTGTCACCAAGTGCAGGCATTATTTCTGCGAGAGCTGTGCACTGCAGCATTTCCGCACCACCCCACGCTGCTACGTCTGTGACCAGCAGACCAATGGCGTGTTCAATCCAGCGAAAGAATTGATTGCTAAACTGGATAAGCATCAGGCTGCAGAAGAGGATGGTACTTATGATTTTCCAGAAGACCCCGATAAGGGTCCAGTTCCCATTACTTAGTTTTCCCATTATTCTCCAATCTCAAAATAAATATTTTGGAAATCTTAATTTGTGTCCTTCCTTTCTAGGGAAAGTGACAGAGGAAAAGGCAGGTGGTGAAGTAGGTTCCTGGATAGATGGCTTGTGAAAGCATCAAGGTAGGTATAATCTGTATTTTTACCTAGTATAAATGCTGCCTGTGTGTCACTTTTCAGAACTCTTTGTATTAAATTACAAGGGTGGGAGAAGTCTGAGAAAAGAGCGAGAATTTGCTTGAAATTTCTGACCAAAGGTGTGATGAAAGGAAGAACCGAACCTATTTATTATTTCACATTTCTGTATCACTTAATGATTTATTTTTATGCACTATCTCTATTAGGAGCCTGTGCTATAGATGTGTTTGTTTGGGACAGGTGGCTAGCACCACAGAATGCATGGGAATGGAAAATGGCCCTTACTCTCTTTGAAGCACCTACAGTAACCTCTCCCCTTCCATAGATGATTGAAATGATCTATGCTGTGCTGTCCAATATGATAGCTGCTGGCTTTATGTGCTGTGAAGCACTCAAAATGTGGCTGATAGCCACCATATTGGACATTTTAGCCCTCGACTGAACCTGGGAACATGCAGAGGGCAAAAACCTAAGACAGTCATACCTCGATACTCGTCTGCTTCAGAACTCATCAAACCCTGTACTCCTCGCATTTTGATGAGAAAAAAAAATGTTTCAGCACTCGGCACTTGCTCGGGACTTGTCGCATTTGCTAGAACTTGTATGAGTCACGTCGCCTCCTGGCAAGAGAAAATGCTTCATCATACGGTACTCGTCGGTTTTGACACTCATGAGTTCTGGAACAAATTAAGGACGAGTACCAAGGTACCACTGTATTTATAATGCATTGTCTGAAACTGTCTTCACCGACCCTGTAATATTGTTGGCCACGCACTTTTAATCTATGTGTCTGTATTCCTAACTGATTTGTGAATTCCTGTGATTAGCCCAGTGCTTGGCATATAAGAGGCCCTTAATAAGCCAGAAAGGTTTCAAAAGGGAGAGTGGAGCCAAAGTCTTGAGTCCAAGCTGAGGAGCTTGACTTTATTGTGTCGGTAATGGGGAGATAACAGAGTTTTGGGGAAGAGAACACAATCAGACTTTTTAAAAATGTGGTTGCAGGCTATCAGATAGATTGCAGGGATATGGATGACAAGAGATAGGGAGGCCAGTTAGGCCAAATGATTAGTAAATTTTTATTGATCTGGCTAGAATTTGGACTGACCCCAAGAAAGAAATGCAAGAATAAATTGAGCGTTAGGGTTTTATTCATTTTCTATTCATATCATGAGTCCATTTAAAGATATTTTTAAAGGAGCTATTCTGTATCAGGCACTGTGCTTGGCATAGGGGATATTAGCAAACAAAATGGACACAGTCCTATACTCATGGAGCTAGACATCAAACAGCGTCAGGTGTGATGAGTACAAGAGAAAAAGGGTACTGGGTTGACCTCTGGATAAACCCAATCCCAACTTTGACTGAGTTGAGAATTGCAAACTCACTTGATACATTGTAAAACATTTTTGTTTATTCTTGTTTACTTGCATTTCCATAAAAATTTTAGGCGCTGTCGGGTGGCTCAGTTGGTTAGAGTATCATCCAGATATGCCAAGGTTGCAGGTTCAAAGCCCCGTCAAGGCATGTGCAGGAATCAACCAATGAATGCATCAATAAGTGGAACAACAAATTGATGTTTCTTTCTCTCTCTCTCATCCCCCCTCCCTCTGCCTGTCCCTCTCCCTCCCTCCTTTCTTCTCTCTAAAATCAATACATTTTTAAAAAATTACATTCATCATGTCACCTTCTGCAAAAACATGATGGGATTTTGATTAGGATTACATTGAAATTATAAATTTGGAATAAACAGATTTCCTATACCCATATGCCTGCTACTGTTAGTAAAATCACAATATCAACAGTGGTACACACTATTAACTACAGGCCTTATTCAAATTTTTTTAATTGCTCTACTAATGTCCTCTTTCTGGACCACAGTGCCATCTAGGGTCACACATTGCAGATAGTTGTAATGTCTCCTTAATCTCTCTTATTCTGGAAGAACTTTCAATCTTTGTAATTCCTGTCCTTGACGCATCTGAAGAACGCTGGCCAGTTATTTTGTAGCTACCTCCCAGCTTTGGTTTGTCTGATGTTTCCTTATGATTAAATTCAGATTATTCATTTTTAAAAGGAAAACCATAGGAGAGATGCTGTACTCTTCTCAGTGTATTAATGTGAAACATTCTGTAACACAATGTAAAAAGTATAGTGGGGATACATGAGATACTTGAGAGGCCCACTGGGAAAGGGCTTAGGAAAGCATCACACAGGAAACAGCATTTAAGGGATGAAACAAAGAGAGCCAAACAGGAAACAGGAGCACGTACTGCCATGGAGGGCAAAGGAAGAGTGTTCTTAAAAAGTCTCACGGAGCCCTGGCTGGTATGGCCTAGTGGATTCAGCGCCAGCCTGTGAACCAAAGGGTCACTGGCTAGATTCCCAGTAAGGACACGTGCCTGGGTTGCAGGCCAGGTCCGCAGTAGGGGGCACGCAGAGGCAACCACACATTGATGATTTTCCCTCCCCCTCTCTAAAAATAAATAAAATCTTTTTTAAAAAGTCTCATGGAAAGAAATATGGCAATGAGTAGCAAAATAATCATTAAAATGGTTAATTTTAAAAAATATTCCTGAGAATTTGTACTAAAAATGTTATTCAGAACCAGAATAAAGCTTTATGGAAAAAGATATATAGTGAATAGAAAAATGTCTAGTCATCAATTGGGAACATTGCTTATTTTTTTTTTTATTATTGTTCAGTTACGGTTGTCCCACCTTTTTCCGAGTTCCTCTCCCTTGCCCCACCCCTTGCACCCCAGTTCCCATAGTCAATCCCCACCCCATTTCCATGCCCATGAGTCCTCTATTTGTGTTCCTTTGCTTGCCCCCTCCCCGTCTTTCCCCAGGTTATCCCCCTCTCTCCTCCCCTCTGATCCCTGTCTGTCTGTTCTTTATCTCCATGTCTCTGGTTCTATTTTGCTCATTTGGTTTGTTGATTAGGTTCCACTTATAGGTGAGATCCTGTGGTATTTGCCTTTTACTACCTGGCTTATTTCACTTAGCGTAATGCTCTCCAGTTCCATCCATGGTGTTATGAAGAGGAATTCCTCCTTTCTTTCTGCTGTGCAGTGTTCCCTTCTGTAAATGTACCAATTTTTTGATGCAGTCATTTACTGATGGGCACTTAGGCTGTTTCCAGCACTCGGCTATTATAAATAGTGCTGCTGTGAACATAGAGGTGTATAGGTTCTTTTGAATTGGTATTTCTGGATTCTTAGGGTATAATCCCAGCAGTGGGATCACTGGATCAAAAGGCAGCTCCTTCTTAGTTTTTTGAGGAAATTCCACACTGTTTTCCACAGTAGCTGCATCAGTCTGCATTCCCACCAACAGTGGACTAGGGTTCCCTTTTCTGCACAACCTGACTAGCACTTATTATTTGTTGATTTGTTAATGGTGGCCTTTCTGTTCACTGTGAAGTGGTATCTCATTGTGGTTTTAATTTGCATCCCTCTGATGACTAGTGATGTTGAGCATTTTTTCATGTGTCAGTGGGCCCTCTGTATGTCCTCCTTGGAGAAGCGTCTGGAACATGGCTCACTTGTAATGGCGTGAGTCTAGGAAATTGGTTACTTTTCTCTTTGGACTTTTGTGTCTTGAATGTTTTGAGATTTTTACACTATGTTTAAATAGTAAAGTTATATTTCTGGGGGGGAAAGAAAAAGATATACATTGAATTGTTGCTATATATTATGTAAGCTGAGAGAAAGGGTCCAGGAGAAAACAAGATGAAAGGGAACAAATGCTGCCGCTGACTAAATTCTAAAACGTAGCTAGAATTGAGATGGGATGGGATTAAAAGCATATATCAAGAAGTTAGTCTTATAGAGCTGAAAGAAGAGGAGAACGGTAACATTTGTCTACTACTGCGCATGTTTTTTAATACCTGTCTGTGAATCTTTAAGAGGATATACAAACTATATGCAAATGAGCATTATTCTTGGGATCCACAGCATTCAGTAGATTCTTAAAGGGAGCATAACTCCACAAAAGTGCATAAATCAATGGTGTGCTTAAGGTGTTTTTCATGTTTACATATTTATGATTATATTTTTTAAAAGTCAGAACAGTCATCTTCAGGATTACAATTTTGGACCGGTCCAGAGACTAACAATACAAGACTGATTCTTCTCAAGAATGCACCATTTTATTTATTATAAGAACTCTTAGCTTTTCTTTCTTGTTTTTTGTCACTTTTAATCAAATGGTGCAACTTCTTCATAGGTGGAAACGAAATAGTTGTTCTAAAATTTTTTTAAATTTTATTTGGAATATAAAAAGCATGCCAACAGAGATGAGATTGCAGCTGGACTCTGAAGGAGCTAACCTAGTTTGATGTCAGAGGATTTTCCCCTCGGAAATGACCCTAGTGGGAGACAGAATATCCCAGGCAGAGGGTTAAATATTGGGTTGGCCAAAAAGTTCATTTAGTTTCTTCCGCACAATGGCTCTAGTAGTGCTTAGTTGTCTTTAACGTATTGGAAACAATTTTGTTAGATTGTATTGTGACAGCTGTCATTATCAGCATGCATTTTTTAAAACTTATCAAAACTGGTGAATTTTTGTGCAGCCATTTTAATATTGAAGTTGGAAGAAAATACAAACATTTTTGGCATATTATGTTTTATTATATCAAGAAAGGTAAAAATGCAACTGAAGTGCACAAAAAGATTTGCGCAGTGTAATGAGAAGGTGCTGTGACTGATCAAACATGTCTTAAGTGGTTTGTGAAGTTTCTTGGTACTATTGACATTTTGGCCAAATAATTCTTTGCTGTGGGGCTGTCTTACTCATTGGAAGATGTTTAGCAGCACCCCTGGCCTCTACCCACCGGAAGCCAATAACGGGAGATAGCCAACATACTGAAAATAGCCAAGTCAATAAAGTTATTGGTGAAAATGAAAAGTGTGTCTTTTCTTTTATGGAAAAAACTAAACAGACTTTTTGGCCAATCCAATATACACTGACAACCTGAAGTGAGAG